ATATTTCAGACACACCATTACATCAAGACTGTATTCTAGAGTGTGGCTCAAGAAATCCACATAGTGGGGCCAGGGTCGGACACAGGATGCTTCTGAGGCCCCAGGTTTGCAGAAGAACCTAAAATCTTTATTTATTTATTATTTATCGAATTTGTACCCCGTCCTCCCTGCCAAGGCTGGCTTAAAAAAAGACATGTGTGGTTCATAGAATCATAGAGTTGGAAGGGGCTGTACAGACCATCTAGTCCAACCCCCTGCCCAATGCAGGACCAGCCTACAGCATCTCTAAATCTCTGATAATTAAAGCAATGTCTGTAGTTTTAGCAAATGAATGCCCATCAAGCTCTTGTGAGACCATGTTCTGATATCTTGACCACTTTGGTGTAGTGGTTAAGTGCGTGGACTCTAATCTGGGAGAACCGAGTTTGATTCCCCACTCCTCCACTTGCAGCTGCTGGATGACCTTGGGCAAGCCATAGTTCTGATAAGAGCTGTCCTTGAAAAAGAGCCGTTTCTCTCAGAGCTCTCTCAGCCCCATCTACCTCACAGGGTGTCTGCTGTGGGGAGGGGAAGGGAAAGGAGTTTGTAAGCCGCTGTTGGACTCCTTCGGGTAGTGAAGGGCGGGGTATAAATCCAATCTCTTCTTCTTCTTCTTTTACCTCACAGGGTGTCTGTTGTGGGGAGGGGAAGGGAAAGGAGTTTGTAAGCCGCTGTTGGACTCCTTCGGGTAGTGAAGGGCGGGGTATAAATCCAATCTCTTCTTCTTCTTCTTTTACCTCACAGGGTGTCTGTTGTGGGGAGGGGAAGGGAAAGGAGTTTGTAAGCCGCTGTTGGACTCCTTCGGGTAGTGAAGGGCGGGGTATAAATCCAATCTCTTCTTCTTCTTCTTTTACCTCACAGGGTGTCTGTTGTGGGGAGGGGAAGGGAAAGGAGTTTGTAAGCCGCTGTTGGACTCCTTCGGGTAGTGAAGGGCGGGGTATAAATCCAATCTCTTCTTCTTCTTCTTTTACCTCACAGGGTGTCTGTTGTGGGGAGGGGAAGGGAAAGGAGTTTGTAAGCCGCTGTTGGACTCCTTCGGGTAGTGAAGGGCGGGGTATAAATCCAATCTCTTCTTCCTCTTGGCACCATTTGGGGGTGGGTTAGGGTTACCAGCTCCGGGTTGGGAAATTCCTGGAGTTTTTGAGGGTGGAGCCTGAGGAGGGTGGGGTTTGGGGAGGGGAGGGGCTTCATTGGGCTATCATGCCCTAGATTCCGCCTTCCAAAGTTGCTATTTTCTCCAGGTGAACTGACCTCTGTCACCTCGAGATCAATTGTAACCCCAGGAGATCTCCAGCTGTCACCTGGAGTTTGGCAACCCTAGGATGGGTCGCTGAGCAGCCATGACAGTATATGCAATCCCTCCAGGTCTTGTTTTTCTGTCAGTCTGTGGGTTTGTGTGGGGGGTAGGAACAAAAAAGTAAAAGATGAAAGGGAAGGAAGGAGGTGGGAAAAGGGGAGAGAAGTTGAAGGTGGGGACAGAAAAAAATGTATTTGGGTGGATGGAAGGGGAAACAGGAGGCAGAAATTTGTCAGGAGGCAGAAATTTGTTGTTCAGTCGCACAGTCAGAGTCCGACTCTTCGCGACCCCATGGACCAGATCCCGCCAGGGCCTCCTGTCTTCCGCCGTCCTCTGAAGTTGGCTCAACTTCATGTTCGTTGCATCTATGACACTGTCTAACCATCTCATCCTTTGCCGTCCCCGTCTTCTGTGACCTTCAATCTTTCCCAGCATCAGGGTCTTCTCCAGTGAGTGCTCCCTTCTCATTGGGTGGCCAAAGTATTTGAGCTTCAGTATCATTATCTGGCCTTCCAGGGAACAGAAAACACGAGGCCTCCAGGAATTAACTCTGGAGCAATTCGAAGATAAAAGTGTTACTTAGTAATATGAAATATGGAATGTTTACTATGATTTGTAATTTGGTTAATAACACAATAGTGCCTCTTGTCAAACGGCATAGGATTTGATTCCGAGCAAGGGAAACCTTTACCTTCACCTTTACTGTAGAATAAAGGGGTTGGAAGGTGATTCATTCATTCTAACTTTAAACAGTGGGCGTATTGAGGAGGGAGGGGGAGTGCCCCCCCCACAAGTCCTCTCACAGGAGGAGGGAAGGTTGAGATCCTTCCCGCCGAACTTATCGGCCCCAGGAATGAGAGGCGGCTCCTTTTATTTTTCTTTTTTTAAGGCGAAGCTGGTTTTTCTGAAGAATAAAGTAAATTGGAAGTGTGTAATAGTAAACAGTAAACTGAAGAAAGTCCAATGTAAGTTAGTATGTAGATATATGTATAGTAACTAACGTGGACATGGGAAAAGAACTTAGGAAACTGAGAGTGCGATCACACGCACAATTAGCCGCGCCATAGGCACGAATGCCGGGCGGATGTAAAGGCCGCGATCAGATGCAAACATCTGCCCAGCGTCCTGCACCTGTCGGCAACCCGTTTTGCTCCACCACAGAAGCGGGGTAAAAAGACACTCGGGAAAGTCCAGTAGCAAATGGGTTGCTACGGGCCACAGACGGACTTTCCCCTGTGTGATCGCTCCAGCGTGCTCTCATGGCGTTGGGATGGTCTGCTCAGACCATCCCGACTCCGTGCCATTGTTTTTCCCCCCTTCTCAGTATGCACATCATCACACACTGCCGTAGGAAGCCCTCAGTGTGGAGATGCGATTCATTGATCCTCCGTTTAAGCGAATCGAAAACAAACGGCAACTCCCCCCCCCGACTCACCTGCGATTGTGTCTGATCACAGAGTGGCGGGCTATGCCCGTAGCTTCAAAGAACTGTGTGATCATGCAACTGCGGGTCAATTTCCTCCGGGGGAAATAGCCTTGCTCCCCCCGCATGTTATCTTGGATGTGTGACCGCAACCTGAATGGAACTATATTTAACGGGTGGTATAAGATAATAGGATTCAGAATAGGAAGTAATTCTTGGTTCGTAATTAGGTACAACAGGAGTTAGTCGATTAGTTTGAGAACACTTTCTATTAATAAATAAGTTTTGGGGGTGAATGATATAATAGATTGTTGGGAAATAAGATTAATATTCTGTGTTATTGTCCACTACAGAAATTAATAAATTGTGAATAAAAAAGAAAGAAAGCTAAAGACTAGAGAACATACATTGTCGAAGGTTTTCACGGCCGGAGTTCATTAGTTGCTGCAGATTTTCCGGGCTGTGTGGTCGTGGTCTTGGCCTTGTAGGACCTGACGTTTTGCTAGTAACTGTGACTGGCATCCTCAGAGGTATAACACAGAAAGGTTGAGTACTCGCTGTGTCGAAGTGAGAAGAAAAATGGTAGGCAGGTAAGAACATAAGAACATAAGAGATGCCAATGTTGGATCAGGCCAAAGGCCCGTCCAGTCCAACACTCTGTATCACACAGTGGCCAAAAATACCAGTGACATCAGGAGGTCGACCAGTGGGGCCAGGACATTAGAAGCCCTCCCACTGTTGACCCCCCCCAAGCACCAAGATGACAGAGCATCACTTGCCCCAGAGTCCCTATCTATACCTTGTGGCTAACTCAACAATTTCATGGAGTGCCCACGAGTTCTTGTATTGTGAGAAAGAGAGAAAAGTACCTCTTTCCCTACCTGCTCTATCCCATGCATAATCTTATAAACCTCGATCATGTCTCCCCTCAGTCGCCGTTTCTCCAAGCTAAAGAGCCCTGAGCCTTTTAACCTTTCCTCATAGGGAAAGTGTTCCAACCCTTTTATCATCCGAGTTGCCCTTTTCTGCACTTTTCCCAAAGCTATAATATCCTTTTTAAGGTGTGGTGACCAGAACTGCACACGGTATTCCAAATGAGGTAATTTATATCTGCTCCAGAAGGTGGGGGAGGGCTGAGTTTATTATCTACTCCACAACATAGAGAACTACTAGAGAACATAGTTTAGATGGTGGGTGGGAGGGAGAAAAGGAAGCCTGGGAAGGGGAGAGGCTGCGGGGACTGCCAGGGGGAGGAAAAGTGGAAGTTTTGTGGCAAGAGTACCAAGGGGGAAAATGAAATGCCCTCCAGTGGGTTGTCATGGGACTCCTGCTTGTTTTTAGTATGTTTCTCTCTCGGGACTGTTGTGAACAAGCAAAGGACTGCTGCCCCACTGTCAGCAAGCTGCCAAAAGTTCATTCTTGTCTATATGTTCCTCTTTGCATCTTCCCCCCCCCTTCGTAGATGCACTCAGCTTGTCATGCGCACATCTCCCCAGTAGCTCTGCATTCCTTTCAGTATACGCCAGCCATGCTTTGATGTAACGTTATCTAGCCAAGGCCACAGGTGGAAGAGCAAGAGAGCTTTGCTTTGTCTTTAATTAGTAGAGACTGTGAGAATCGTATGCTTATTTATAATAAGGTAGCCGTTGCTTTCCCAAGGTTTAGGCGTGCAAGAAACCCTTTGCCCGCGCGTGGGAACCATGTTTACTGGCTGTAATGTTTATGAATTTGCTTTAACCTTTCCAGCTCTCCGAGCTATCGTTATTCTGAACAGTGACCCTCTTCAAGTGCTTCATGGCTTCAATAAAGTAAACCCTTCTTGCAAGTGTGTACTATGTTGTTTGCTGTGGGGACCTGGCACCCACTCATGCCTTGAGTGCACCTTTAATCTTCGTTTCCCTCTCACTTTTAATTTGTTACCCTCTAAACACATATCTTCCGTTGAGTAGCCACCAAGAATACAGAAGTTGGCTATCCCTGTCCTAGAGGTAAGCACACACCCAACTCAGAGCAGCGTGTAGCTTACTCCAAGCATAATGTGGGGACAGGTGGTACGTATCCTGGGGTAAGACTAATTTATCTTTAGTAAGTGGCATACATGAAAGACTTTGCATGAAGTGTTCATAGGCAAGCCGTTGGTATGAAGTAGACCAGTATTAATACACACCTGATATCAATCGTCAATTTGCGTTGTTAAAGAGAATGCGTGCTCTCTCTCTCTCTTGCTCTCTCTCTCTGCAGGAAATAAATATATTGTCAGAGTATTCACAGGTGATATAAATGGCAGCGGAACAGATGCTGATGTTTTCATTAACATCTTTGGCCAGTACGGCGACACAGGTATTTTCCAAGCACGAGCGGAGGTCCCTTATTTAATTTCCTTTAACATTTATATATGTATATATTGACACTTTCGGTGTCTCTGTTTTGGGGGGTGGTTCTGTCCATTTGTTTGTGTTGTGCTGTGTGGTGTTGGTGTGCAGTTTATAAATGCAGTGTATGTCACTGATCTGCATAAGGGCATGTATCCTGCTTTCCTCTTCTGACAACACCGAAGCTGTTACGTTAGCATGGGCGTTTTATTTTGAAGTTTCCATACACTGTCGTGCAAAGAAAGCCCCACTGTGTCCCAAGAGGCATTTCCATTTGGAGAAGGCAGAGCACGAGCAGCAAATGTTTGGTTTAACTTTATTTATTTTTTTACAAAAATTAATTTTTAATTTAATGAAGCAATTAAAGAATTTCAAAGTGGGAAATGGTAAGTGCTTAAAATTATGTGAGGATCGGGCCACATCCAATGCGACCACTTGTTCAATGGTTTCTGAGTTAACGGAATACCACTTAGTTGGGAATGAACTCAGCCCGGGAGATACACGACAATGTTATTGGGATATTTGGTTAATCTAGCAGAGTTTGCCCAGTCATAGGAGCGTGATACCGAGTGCAGTAAATAAATCTCCCAAGAAGTATATTGCAA